CTCCGGGCCGCTGAGGAACTACCTGGAGGAGTTGGAGCGGGACTTCAGTGGTGGTGGTCTGGAGTTTGTGGACGATGAGGAGGATGTCGAGGAGGTGGTCGATGAGATGGAGTCGGAAGGAGAGCAGTCGGGGTGGAGAGCTTGGGAATGCCTTGGGGAGCTGGCGATGGTGTGTTGTGGAGATTGTGGACTCCTTCAACCCCGGCACCCCCACCAAGTCCCGACTGAGGATCCAAGGGACATTCGCGGCTGCGGGGTGGTGATGAGCTCCATGCAAGCGGCGGTGGAAAGTACGCTGGACTTGGTGGAGGCGACGCAGATTTCCTGTGGGTTCTGTGGTGGCAACTTGGAGTATGTGGACGACTACCGAGAACGTCGGACTGGAGGTCTATGGAAGGGCTCGAGTTGTTCTTGGGATCAAGCTGAGGAGTGGCACGCCATGGAGGTGAGGTCGCACTTGCTGATGAAGAGGTTATGGAGTGAGGAGTTGCGCCATCAGGCCATTGGAGAAGAGCAGGGCAGACAGAGAGGGCGATGGATGGCTGCATTGGAAGCTGGACTGTTGGTACAAGAGGATCATTTGGAGGACCAACATCGTAAGCTGGAGTCGGTGAGGTTGGCTGCGGTGAAGAATGAAGCAGGTTTGGAGTTACAGGATCCTGGAGCTCCTCCACCGGCGGTGTTGCAGACCTATGCAGTTCCCCTTCAACGAGTCCGACAGGAGCTTGCGGCGTGGGTACCTCCGATGACTGACGAGTACCAGTCCTTGATTGAAGGAACTAGGGCATTGAGCCCGACGACCATGGAAGAGTTGGAGCAGGATCCATTGTATGAGGTGATGGAGGTGGCGCCGGGGATGTTGGTTCCGACCATCAAGGCACCACATGGGAAGAAGCGGGCTCGCATTGTAGTCTGCGGCAATCGGTTGGAGGCTCTAGATGGCAGTGGTGCAGCAACCTCGGGAAGGGAGGAGGCCCAGAACTTGTATGCCGGCGGAGCTGACGGAACAACCATCCGATGTCTTCTACGAAAGGCGGCGGCTATGAACTGGGAGATCGCCACTTGCGATGTCAAGACGGCTTTCCTTCTGGCACCCAGGGAAGACTCCAGTCGAAGATTGGTAGTGGTGAAACCGCCACGCATTTTGGTGGAGGCGGGCATTGTGGGACCTCAGGAACTATGGCGGGTTCAACACGCCCTCTATGGACTTCGATCCTCGCCGGCGGACTGGGCTACCTATCGAAACCGGCTGATGAGGTCCTTTCAATGGCAACATGAAGGGAGGACGTTGGAGCTTCGGGAGACGCCAGAACCCAACCTTTGGAAGATTGTGGAGAGACGACCGCTGGATCAGGAGGAACCGCCTCCGAAGGGATTCATTGGGGTCTATGTGGATGACTTCATGGTGGTTGGGGCCAAGGACATCGTGAAGGGAGCATTGAGCAGGATTGAGATGGAGTGGAAGTGCAGCCCGGCGGAATGGGTCAATAGCGAGAGATGGACGAAGTTCAGTGGATTTGAGCTGAGATGGAGCTCGGCGGAGGAGGACAGCGGGCTCTATGTGGGGCAGCAAGCATACATTCAGGAGCTTCTGAGCCGACATTCCTGGGTGACCCCGGCTACGGTACCTTTTCCAGGAGTACCCAATGAGGAGCCGGAAGCGGAAGTCACCTTGGAAGATGTGAGAAAGGCGCAGGGAGTGGTAGGTGAACTACTGTGGGTGTCAGTGAGAAGCCGACCTGATCTGGCCTATGGAGTAGCTTGGATGGGACGACAGGTGACCCGAGCTCCAAAGCGGGTCTTGGAGTATGGATGTCAGATGTTGGGATATTTGAAAACCACCTTGGCATGGTCGCTTCACTATGGACGAGCCCGGTCTTCAATCCCTGGAGAACACTACAATCATACTATGAGGGTGGACGTCCTTTCGGACGCATCGTTTGGACCTCCTTCTGGGAGAGGGTGTCAGGGCGTGATTGGAACCTATGGGGGCGAGCCGGTCCAATGGGAATCCAGGCAGCAGGCGTTTTGCACGCTGTCGAGCGCAGAGGCTGAACTGCTGGGTTACACAGAAGCGATGACCATGGGGGATTCCTTGGCGGCCTTGACCAATGTTCTGGAAGGAACAGGAGATGGAATAGGAATAGAGTGCCGTTTGGGGGGAGACAACCAAGCTGGTCTTCGAATCCTTGAAGCGCCGGATGGACCTTGGAGGACACGTCACCTTCGGCTTCGAGCCCATGCACTGCGGGAGAGGGTGAAGTGGGGCGCTTGGAAGGTGATCCATATCCCAGGTCAACATTTGGTGGCTGACTTCCTGACGAAGCCGATCGGAGTGGCTGCGAGATGGCAGCACTTCTTTGCGGCCATGGGAATGAAACCAGTGGTGGAAGCTGTGTCTGAGAGCCTAGGGTCCAAAGTGGCCAGGATTGCAGCTCTGGTAGGTGGGTTAGCGGGCGTGATGGCCTGGCGGCCGTCAGGTTCCACGGGCAAGGCTGCTCAGAGCCTAGCCGTAGCTGCGATGGTAGCTAGTTTGGCCACCAGCTGGAGAGCCGGCTGTGATTCTAAGAAGAGAGCCACTGGGCCGATAAGAGATGAATATGCAGATCCACCATATGGACTTCAAGATCAGGTGAGGGAAGATGAACCCACCTGCAGTAGAGATGATGGGTCGGAAGAGGAACCCATTAGTGAACCTAGCCCTGAGGGCTCCCGGGATTACGCGGTAGATGTGAGCCATGGCGGCAACTCGAAGAGGGCACGATTGGCTGCTCTGAGAGAGGGATCTTCGACAGGGCTCGGAGGGACATCGTCGACGACTACTGGAGAGGTTCCAGTTGTGGACTACGATCGACCCTGGACATGGAGGAGGTTCACTATGCCTTCGAGGGGTCAAGATCGATGGGACCGACTTCCAGGGGGATGGTGGGTCAGACACCATGTGAAGCAGAGGATGAGACCATTCCATCCAATTCATCGACACACACCTATGGACTGTAGCCACATTCAAGATCGGAGAATCACCGTGTTGTGGTGCCATGGGGAAAAGGTGATCAGGGATGATGAATGGAGGAGAGACACGGAACCACCAACGAGGGACCCCTGGGTAGGATATACCTTCTTCAGGGATATTCATCCAGACCCAACGGCGGGGACTTTGACTTCGACCTCCAGTTCATCAACTACCAGAGGACAGGGCGATAGGACGTCTTCCTCGATGAGCGGTTCACTGACCTCCGGACCACCGCCAATGCCGGGCATTGCGGAACATGGTCCAGAGATGGAAGGAGTGCCTCGAGATGTCCGACCAGATCGTCAAGGACAGGACCCGAATCCGGTGGAATCTGGTTCGGAACTCAGCACAAGGGTGAATGAGGGAGCAAGTAGCAGTGGCATTGGAGGCTATGGGCAGCGGCTTCATGGCCATCAACAGCGAGGAGAAGTTGAGGGATCGGGGACGTCTGGAGATTCCCGAGAGCTTTCCTTGGTGAGTGAAGAGATTGATCGAGGGTGGGACTATGACCCTGCCTATTGGGCACAAGGACCTGGAGGACATGATGGAACCACATTGGAGGATGATGTACGGGATGATTGGCTGGCGTTCATGCGGGACTTGACAGTTGACACAGGGTCTCCTGGAAGGATCCAGCCATTGGAGAGCGAAGAGAGTAGTGCGGAACGACCTGACTGGAGGAGAAATCTGGCCAGTGAGGATGAAGAACCGCCAACCTTGGACGAGATGACAGCCCGGGGATGGAGGGTGGTGCGAAGCAACTTGGCACCCCCGAATCGAGAAATTTACAGGGGGCCGGATCCGGTGCCACCGCCGGATGAGGACCCAGATCAGGAGACACCGACCTGGATGGGTGTGTCCACGCAGACGCCAGTGAGGCCTAGGTCAACTGACCCTTGGGAGCCGCGACGCGGTTTTTCTGGAACCTCAAGGGTTCGAGAGGACTCAAGTGAGTCTGATGAAGGCTTTGAAATCCGCGGAGGGTAGAAGAAAAAACCTACCCAAAGCGAAGTGACTTCCCAGAAGTCAGGGGGAGTGTGGATCGAACATTCCACTCCGAATTTCGACAGGTGCACAAATCAGAAGTGTACCTTTTGACCCTGTCTGGGCATTTGGCTCAAGAAAATAGGTCCGACGGGCTGGACCGACCGATCTCGTAACCACAGGGTTAATATGTTATGTATTTTACAATATTCAATATTCCACAGCATGGATGGGTCTGGGAGTACGCAAATCCAGCAGTCCAGTCCAATATCCCGAATGAAACCACTTGTTTTGTGGTTGTTTAGATGCCCGGCGGCCGATCGCCGATCACTGGTGATCGCTGGAGTCTCCAGTGGGTGCGGACTTGTGCGGAATGGGACCCTCTAGGTCACGAACAGGTAGGTCGATCTCCAGGTTATACTTGTACTTGCTGGCAGACTCCGGTATGTCATTTGAAGCAGGGTGGCTTCCAATTTTGGAATGTGACGCGAGAAAAACAACACTGTTTACATGCATAAAGGACTTTGAGTCATTGACAGAGGCAAGCGGAATACATCGTCCTCCTACATACTGTGTCTCACAGACGATTGACTCAGGCTGTGATTGCACCCGACACGCGAGATGTCTCCACTGGCAAAGGTCTCAAACATTTAAACCAGATGGTCGGTGGCGATGGGTGTCACAGGTGAGTAGCAGCATGTGGAGAACCAGCATCTCGCGCTCCTTGGGTGGGTCAATGTACAGTTCCCGTATTTGGGGCGCGCTTTAAATTCGCAACACTTGTTCGTTTTCATCGGTGTCACTTCGTACGCTAGAAAATGGGCATGGGACATGACCCCAAAATACCCCACAAAAAAAACAAAATGTACGTAATTTGCACTACGTATCCCAAGTGTCCGAGCTACGAACAGGGTCGACTTCAGGTAACTAGGTCGTCCTCATCCTCACATCCCCATGTGGTCCAGTCTGGTCGGCATTCGGACCAGTCAACATGTTCGCCGAGGAAGAATGATAGCCGCATGTCCTTCTCTGCCTTGCGGGAGTTGCTTTACGATCCCCACACCCGGAGGATGCGGCCGCAACGGCTAGTGCCTTGACAGAAACTCCGTCCACGTGAGGGGTTTGTTTATTGGATGCTTCTTTGGGGGGGGAGCTTCACCTCCGGATGGTTGTCCAGGGTCAATATTGGTGAATTTATAGTAATTAACCTATATAGAGCCTCGCTATTTTGGACCAACCAACCACAATGTGGTTTTGTCCTATATCCAAGCAGGGGTCAAATGAGTTCTCAGAACCTTTGATAAGATAGCTGACCTTCACAAGACTCCCAAACACTTTCTCAGAAGAAACAAACACATTATAAAAGAATTCCGCCCCTCGTTCTCCGCCTCTCAGCCCGTTCTAGGCCACCATGCTTCAAGCCTCCCTGGGCGTGGTGGCGGACGCTGAGAGCCGAGAAGGCTTCATCGACTTCGACTCTGTGCCGAAGGACGGGGATCGAGGACAAACAGCCATGAACTTAGTTACTAAAGTATGGACCAACTACAACTTCAGTGCGTTCGGGGAACCAACCGTATGGAGGTTTTGTGGGGCAACATGTAGTTACTAAAAGGAACCAAACAGTTGAAACATGGGACAACTCGTTTTGTTTTACTTCCAGACACTTAAAGACCATATGTGAATACGGTGTCTTTTAGACGCATTCTTCCATGTTCTGGGAGGGGCCGGGATTGTGAAGAAGTTGGATGATCTCATGTCTCATGCTATGTGGGTTGCTGCTTGGATTCTCTTGGACTGCACCAGGACAGTGCACCGGTCTCAGAGGTCGTGAAGTTCCTCCTGTCGGAGAACGCCTCCAAGCCACCCGGAGCAAGCAGAGCGGCAACTGGGCGGGTGGGGTGAGCCCGCCAGGGTGACTCATTTTCTGAGTCCAGAGTTGGACACTCGGCGCTCGGCCACCTTGCAGAATCTGAATCCCCCCGCAGCTTGGCAGAACGTCTCAACTGTAACAATCACGCCACTAGGAACAAGAAGCTACGTTCGGGGCTCCTGGCATCGCTACGAACGGAGCAAGGACGCTACTATCGGAACAAGAAGCTACTGGAGAAACACGTTCGCGCCCTCGCCCCCGCGGGTCAAACCGGTCCCCCAACACCCTCGGTCTTTTCCGTGACCGAGGCTGCGGCCGCTGCTGAACGCTGAGCTGGCCTATGGCCTCGATCTGGTGCTGCGTCGCACTGCTCGGCGCCTGCGGACCACCTTGAGGGACCTGCTGGTGCCCCGCGTGCCGCTGGTGGGCGTGCGACTACCACAGTCCATTGGAACGAGAAGGGCCCGGGGGGGTGGGGTTGGTGTGATGAAGCGAAGGGTTGCAATTTGATTGCCGGTCTGCCAGGAAGTCAATGGTGATTGAGGTGAAATGTAATTTAATGTCATATCATGTTGTTTGTCATCGCTTCTGGCAGAGGGGAAGTAGTCTTCCCTGATGAGCCCATTGGTTGACCACCGCCCCTCTACTTGTGAGCCTCCCCCAAGGGCCTTCGGGCCGGGAAAACCGGGTGCTTCAGCTGGATGCCAAAGCGATGCCAAAGGTGTCTCGAGGAGGTTTGAGACAAAAATCAACACCAACTTCTCGAGAACCCATCGATCTCAGCATGACCCTGTTTTTTGTGACGAGAACCCAGGCCGCCATTGCCTCCACTGCTGCTGCCAGTGCCACGAGATTTGGAGAAGACAGGACCAGCGGCCTTCCAAAGTGGCGTTGATTTGCCTCTCGCCGTGGTTGATCGAAACCACTCAACTCTCTCATAGAATCCCTATTGAAAAGCGCATTGGGATCCCAATCCCATACTTCCCTGTTGAACATTCTAGGCTTGAACGGAAAAACACAAAAGAACCTGGATGTTCATCATCTTGCGAGAAATCGATGGCAAAAAGGTTGACCTCCCCCACCCGAGGAGCGATGTCCTCCAGACTCGAACAGTGGGACATAGGAGTTTGTTCAGCGGCTACCCACCAGAGTCGAACGCCCCGAAGCTCGAACACCCGGACTCATGACGTCTTCCGGGCTCGTTTTCAATCACCAAACCCCAGACACGACCTGTTTGGGACTGGCATACAATCATGTACCAATCATCATGTACATTGGGATGGCTTTAAGACTCAATCTTCCCAAAAACTCGACACTCCGACTGCCCGAACCGTCTGACGTCCCGGTTAGGCCTGACGCATCCGGTTTTGGCTTTGAGGCTTGGCATCGACGAGATCTTCGAGGCCGTCTTCCCCGAGCTGAACACCTCCGAGGCTGAGCGGTGCCGCTGCCGCCATGAGAGCGTGGCCTCACTTCGCCCGCTGGGCGATTGTTGACGTTTTTTCGGGCGAGGTGCGCTTTTTTGACCAAGTTGTTCCATTGTTTCTTTGTCTTTCTGGAAGTGAGCTGGTTAGGGAGGTTGGCTTGTTGAGTGAAATTTGAATACTTGACTTCGGGATTTTGGATCAACGCCTGGAAGGTGATCGAAGAAAAGAAAAACGCATTTGTTTGGGGATGTCTTTCACATCGGCATCACTGAACAAGGGTGTTTGGGTGCTGTCAAAATGGCATTAATTATGCTGGCAATATACTGGCAAAAACATGCAAAAACTGGTTGTTTTTTTTTTTGGCGTTTTGCAGGCCCCTACAGGAAAACCTGTACTTAGGAAGCCGTGCCTTTTGCACGATTCTGTATGTGATTGCTTCGTGTTTGGTAATCCTCATGTTCAACACATAATATCACATAATATGTTTATTTTCATGATGCGGTACCATGCAGTTTTGCTTTATCGGGTTGATGTTGGATGGGTACACATTTCTTCAAAGATACGGCGGTGCCAAGGCTTGAAGCTTTGGGTGAGATAGCTATACAGTATATTTATGATGTTGGAGGTTGGTTTCACCACGATCCTGGAGTGTGGTTCTCGCAAAACCCAATGGAAAGCAACGGAGTCAAAGTCTGGGAGGTTTGATTGTGAAGCATTTGTCCTATCATGTTTGTGTGGCAGCCATCTCTTGCCGAAGCCTTCCCTATGATGTTGATATGCTATATAATCATATATAATTTCATTGGTGTGGTTTAAAGAGGTTAATGTAGGGAAAGCAATATAATAATCCATACATGGGGTGTTTGGGATTGATTGTGTATCCCATAGGTTCGTGAACAGTAAATCCAAGCTTCATTCGTCGCCAAGTCATTGCCAGCACCAGATTGAAGTTCATGTGGTTTGAAGAAACCGGAAACGCAAACGATGTGTTTTGAAGCAGGTCTTTGAGTCTCCTCTCAGCATTCCACAATCACAAAGACCACCTACAGGTATGTCAGGTGTGTTCTCGTTACTGGGGAGACCTCTCAGGCGTCAAGACCTCGAAGGTTCGGCACACGAGACCGAACACCTGTTGCGGCTCGGGGCGGTCTCCCTATGTTTTGTTGCCACACTGAGAGGTATGGGTTCCTCGGAATGGGAAGCCTTTTCCCCGGATGCTTGGGGAGAAACCTCGCTGTCAGGATGTGGACTTTGACACCTTTAACGAGGCCGCCAAGGCGTGGAACTCTCAGATGGATGTTGCAAGCACCGGCTTGGAGCCTGCAGGGCTTGGAGCCGCGACAGATGGATACTACGAATGGTTTGAGCTCAAGAACTTGGTTTGTTCAAGACATGGGGAGTGAATTGGCTCAGGAACTACGCCAGATTACTTGTTTGGGACCTGGAATACCTTTGAAGGGAGCCAAGGACAAGTTTCCCTGGTTCAATCCCAGCCCCCCCCAGAAAATATCGACGTTTTTCTTCGAACCTCCACAACCTCTGAGAGTTTGCAGGGCATTCTCAACGAGGGCGACGAGCTCCCAGAGCCCACCCCCCAAGCGCTGCTGAACGCGCTGCGCTCAGTGGCACAGGGCCAGGCGCCGCGGCGCACGCCGCGCACGCCGCGGCACACGCACCGGCGTGTCGGACGTTTCGAACATATTGGAGATACCAACCGGGATGCCAGTGGTCCAAAACGGGCACCTGATGGATGGAACACATGGTTCCTGGAGGGGCACCGGCACCGTGTGAAACGGAGGTTTCTGACGAACCGTGTGTGCTATTGGTGGATCAGAAGCAAACATGGTGGATCCGATCGACTAGATATGCAAGGACGGTTCTGAGATCATTGTCTACTATGCCCATAGGGTCCAGGTACCTCCTGAGGATGGTCTTGGAGGTGAAAGTACTTCCAGAGAATGGTCTTGGGGGGTCAAAGGACATCCTCAGGATGGTCCTGGACCCTTAGGGATGCAAATTGTTCCCCCCAGGCGGCCCCCTAGGCCCTAATCAGTGAGCACCCAGAAAAGCCATTGGCAATTCTATATGTATTACTGTATGTATGTATAAGTGCGCTTGCGGGAAATGGAGCTTTGCATTCGTGTGGCACCATTTGTTTCTTCAACCATCGCGCTAAAACAAAAGGACAGGACGGACAAGACATCTTACTGTATCAAACCGAACATTACCCTATGGATCCTGTGGTGCATTGAAGCTAGTCACCGAGACAGATATTTGTGTCGTTTGTGGACTTTGAATTGGTATGAATTGATACTTCCTCGAGTGTTTTGTTCGAGTCATCATCGATCTCATCTCTGGTGACTGGTGACCTCTGAAGAATCCCGTTTTGAAGTCCTCCAGTTGGGATACTCTGAAGGTGGAATGTATTACGCTCATCTCAAACCACTGAAAACGCACCAAGACGTCCCATGAGAATTTGTCAGTTGGGATGATGTTGAGACGTCGGTGCCTCCACTCGTTGAGGGACGAGCAAAGCAACGGAGGCCCCTTATATTATACTTGTACATTGTACATCTCTTTTCCGGATCGAACACTTGGCGCTGTAGCGGTTTTCATGAGTCATCGAGTTGGAACAAAACAATCTGGGATCAGGGATCGTTGGTGAAAAAGAACACACCATGAAGAGTTCACTCCTGATGGATCGCAATTCTTCACTTTTCAGCACTGTTTTTGACCAAGTCTATTATTAACAGATGGCTTTTGTTGATAAGATAATACTCCTGGACCGTATCAGATCCTTTTTGAAGCTATATATATAATCACTGCTATGTATAATGTTGGATCCTGATTAGTAAAAGGGTCCTCTACAATGCTATGTGTTCAAAAATAATTCAGAACACCAGGTTTGTTTTAAGGGTTCTCTATTATGCTAATTTTGTTGGGGAGCCTATCTTTTTATTATCTGAAAAAATGTAAGTGTTAAATCATTCGGAATGAGGAGATCTGTCAATACTGCTAAGCCAACGGCAGGCTTGCTGAGAGTATGGAGAAGTATAGTATAGGCTTCTCTAGTTCTTCTTCAAAACTGACAGCTTCCCAAAACCGTCAATTCCGTAGTCAATCCTTTTATGTAAAGATTGCTCCTAAACAAATGTTCAAGGTAGTAGACCAGGAAGGCTCCTGATCCTCAATTGTAAATTTGTTTTAAGGATCCTCAATCGTGCAAAGTGGTGTTCCTCATTAACAACAGTTAAAACCAAAAACACCTATATATATATATATTCTCAATACATCTTAAAACTACTAAGCCAATGGCTAGCTTGCTGAGAGTATTGATAAGTATAGGCTTCTCTAGTTCTTCTTCAAAACTCACAGCTTCCCAAAGCCATCAATTCCTTAATCAAGCCTTTGTGTAAACATTGCTCGTAAACAAATTTTCAAGGTAGTAGACCAGTAAGGCCCTGATCCTCAATAATAGTTTTGTTTTCAGGGTCCTCAATTGTGCAAAGGTTTTTACTCAATAAAACACACAAAACAATTCTTTATGCTACTAAGTTGATATGTTGCTCTAGTTCCTCTTCAAAGCCGCAGAGAACCTGAGAACCTTCCTTGTCAATTACACAAGGAATCCTCCCATGAACCCAGATTTGTGTTGGTGGTGGTTTATTATAGAGGACCTCCCATTTGTTAGAGGGAGGGGGGGTCCCTTCTACTAATCAGGATCCTACATTATTATATATATATATATGCCGGGTGTTTTCCAATCTTGCCATCAACAGTAGGATGACTGAGGGACCTTCTTGGAAAAGGAAATTGCTCTGTGCCAGGAGACTGCGGTGGCTGAGCTGGCTGAAGCTCTGCGGCAGTCACTGTCAACCCAGGAGCGCCGGCGTGGGGCGACATAGCTGGGGCATATCACCCAATGAATGATGATGCTTACGAGATTAACTTAAACCAGAACCCACAAGGGGTGGTTAATGGACACCCCTTAACCTCTAAGGGGCTATAAATAGAAACCCCTTACAGGGTCCTGGAAGAAGACCTCTTCTTTTGGCTTGGAACAATCTGGTTGTCCATGGTTGCACCTTTGCCGGCGGGCCTTGGTACCTCTCGATTTTTCAGTTTGCAGGTGGGTTCTTGTCCCTATCATAGTGCAACCTTCATTTGGGTGTATACTTCTATTATGAAACACACACAAGAGCTTTGTTTCTGCTCCATTTCTGTTCGTTGGGTCCACTTCGTGAGAATCGCAACGCAACTTGCAAGACCGGACACCTCGAGACAATGTCTGGACGATTTGCCAATCAGGCAATCAGGCCACGGGTGAGCCACAGAGGCTGTGGATCCATTGGCTCCGAGCCCGTTTCTCCCTGGTACGGGTCGTAGTACGTTGACCTCCCAAGTGAAGTGGGTGGTGCGTTCGGTTCATTCTTCAGTCCACCGGGGTCTCCTGGTGACCCACAGACATGTAGTCAAGTATTCCAATCGCACATAGATGCTCCATGTATGGTTTA